AGTTCTATCGGCGTGAGAATAAAGCTCTACTTTATTGGTGTAGCTTAAAACTTGGTCCTTGATGTTGGAACATTCAGTCATTGGGCTACCTTAAAAAAGAACATGTTGTGGCAGTCTTTCAGGCCCATCGTACTTAGGATGTGAGAACTCTATCTGCCATGTTGAGCTCCACGCAGAAAGAGCGTTCAAATCAGAATGAATCTGTTCTAGGTATCTCGCGGCCGTAGAGTTAAAGAAGGAGTAAACGCACTCAAGATCATTCGCAGAAATATAAGATTGTGAATTTTTAACACTCAAGGAAATATCATTTATGTAAAGCAAGAACAATCATTTATATTAAATCGTTTTAAATTGTGTTAAATTGTCTATTTTATCCTCTATAGAGGGTGTTTTCGGCGGTGTTCCGTCCCTTAATCTGTACAGTCATTATTGCTTTCCTCCATTCTCCGTTTTATAACCCTGACGATGGGCTTCACGGTCCCTAGTCATGCTCATGGCGGTTCTGCTATTTTCGCCAGCTTGTCGCTGGACTCTGCAGTCCACAAGGTCACATCTCCGGCGTTTCGGTTATGATCTCGTGACCTCTACCGTCCCCTCATCATTTGGACCCTGTTGTCCGCGATGACCTCTTCCTGTATTACCTCCCTGATGGTTGATCCTGGAGCCAGACGGGCGGTGTTACGGTGGTGAACGGTAGCCTCTGCCGCTATATGATTTCTTTAACGACAAGAAGAGTTTCCAACCCTCATACATTCGCTTCAACAGTTCAGGCTCATTGTATCGCAAAAATCCTATCAACCCACCTCTTAATTTTTATAGAAACGGTTTTTCTCCTACGTTTTTTTGAAAGTGGGGTCCGCTGAACTCTGCCCCCGCTTTAATGGTAGGAGTTTCAATCACTGTTTCCTCCTTAGTTTTCCATACTTTTCAGAGAGTGTTGACTATTATTTTAAGATGACGATATGTTGGCGGATATGAAATTATCTGCCTGAAATTATCTGCCTACCACTTTTTATTTATTTTTACCACAGCGTTAAGTTTGCCATGACGAGGCCTTCCGGGGCTAAAATATAAAAAAATTATTTATTCATCAATGCTAGAACTAACCTTCATAATATTTATGTAAGACCTGCTCATCCTTATTTAGCCTTCTGCGTGCCAGTGAATGGACGAAAATAGACTCGGTCAAGCATTTCTTCACTTAAAGAGTTCTTCTTCAGAACACCGTAAGTTGTCCTACAGCAACGTTGTGAACTTTTTGAACTTGATCCCTTGGACTTCGCGGATTACAGAAGAGACTATTTTTACTATATAAACTTTTAAACGGCCTTACCTTTAATCTCCTTAGTACCCTGAGGCAGCCCGACCACTCTCGGTGCGCTAGTCATCGAGATTTTTTATTTCTTCCAATGGCACAGACATTTAGATACCGCCATTTTTTTCAGTAAACGCCATAGCATTCTGGAATAAGCTACCAAGAAGTAATAAAACTCAACAAAATTTCCCCTTGTTTAAGAGGGCTTTCTTGGTTTATCGGTTAATTTGGTGAGGGCGATAAGCAATGCCTTTGAAAACTCCATTGATCCCATGCCGGTGCGTCATATACATATGTATACGCACACGTAAAAAATGACCACTACTAAAATAGTATTGACACACAGTGAGTAGCTTTGTTTTTAAAAATAAATCTGGTAGTTAGAGTACAAACTTCGAGGGACAACAGGGGACGCGTATAATTATCCAAGCGTTGTTTGTACAATTGTAGGGAAGTGGCCTCCACGACTGACTGCAGAAGGTTATTCTACTGTTGCTCGGCCCGTTGCGTGAAGAATTTAGAGCGGACATTGAGCTTGGACACCTTCGTGCCCCGCTTCATTGTGTGCCAACGGAGATGAGGCTATCACTATATGCCTATAATAAAGAGGAAGAAGATAGAGCCTATCCAGGCGACATTCAAATGCTAGACCCCTAAGCTGCTGACTAGCTTGGTCGCCCTTCTTTGGACTTTCTCCAGTACTGCGTAATCTTTCTGCATCCTGGGGCACCACGCCTGGACGCAATACTCTAACATCGGCTGAGCAAACGTTCCGAAGACTCGCCCAAAAAGCTCCTCATCGAAATAGAGGAAGGACCATCTGATCGCTCCTAGGATACCCATACCCTTCTTCGCGGTGTTGGCACAGTGAGTTGACGGTTTGAGGTTTGGCGTCATACATACACCTAGATCCCTTAGTTCGTTCACATGTCCGAGTTGGTTGCCTCCGATCAAGTAGTCATACTCAAATGGTATCACCCTTCTGCAACTAGACCTAAGGCGAATGACTTGGTATTTGTTGGAATTGAGCTGCAGTAGCCACTTTTCACAGCCCTTTTGCAAGCGATCCAAGTCATTTTGTAAGGTCTGTCCATTCTCCGAGCATTCGATTGACTTCCGAATCTCGAGATTGTCTGCAAACATGACTTTCTCACAGGTGAGGCAGTCAAGACAGTTGTTCACACATACCAGGCGCAGATTATCAAACCAAACGCAGATGAATCCAAGGTTATAACAAGTGTTGACACAGGAACACACTCGGTTATAACATTGGCAAGACAGTTGACCACTCCAGATGCGTGTGCACACACAAGATCACAACAAGTGACTACACAACATGAGCAGTATATATCAAATGTGGAAGATCTTCGAAGCACAGCAGGCGACTATCATTGATCTCCTCGCAATGCTGCAGGAAGATGTGAAGCAGACAGGCAGTGATTTGGAATTTATATTTTTCAGCGCCGGTACGGCACTATCTGTACATGATAGAATGAAGCGGCTGGAGGACATGATCACAAGAGCAAAAACAGAAACAACAACAGCAGCCACTGATGCATCAGCAATAGAAGCAACAGCAACAGAGGCACCAGCAGCCACAGAAGCGGACAAGGCCGAGCCGCAGATAAATAAATTAATAAATAAATAAAATAGATTTTATATTTTAGGCCCGGAGGGCCTCGTCATTGCAAACTTAGTGCTGTGG